TCATCATCACTATCACTATCACCTTCCTCATGCTTCATATCACCATCATTTTGATTTCAACTTGAATTTCTGAACTGAAAAAAGTCGACTCACATCTACCTCTCTCAGCTGACTCATGCAACCCCCAGGACGCCAAAAGTTCATAAATGTTCGAACACGTGAAATGAACGGATGGTTTAGAATTCAAGAGCTTGTGTTATCCTGTGACAAGTAATAAATGTGGAAAGAAAAGGCAAAAAAGAGAGACAAAATAGGAAAGAATCCAATTCTCTCTCTCTTCTCTCTCTTCTCTCTCTCTCTCTCTCTATCTATCTATATTTGTTATATAAATTTATATATTTAAATATAAATTTATATATTTATTTGTCCATCTCTCTATGTCTGTCTTTCTATTTACTTATTTATTTATCTACCTGTCTACCTATCCATCTACTTACCTATCTATCTATCCCTATCTATCGAAACGAAGCTATTTGCAGTAACCTATCCGGTTGTCTCTGTGTCCTTATCTATTTCTATCTATCCATCTATCTACCTACCGACTTTCTTATCTATTTACCTTCTTATCTTTCTATCAATCTACCAATCTCTCTATATGACCTTCCTATCTATCTATATCTATTTAAATATAAATACATCGAAACGAAGCCATCTTCAATAATCTAAATTTTGTTTGTATGTTTATTGCATAATTTATTATTCTATTCATAAAGTTAAACAAATTGAAGAAGAGACAAAATAATTCCGAGAAAAGAAAATATCTTGAAAAAGAAAACATAAAACAGCAGAGGAGGTCTTAAAAAATGACATTTCCCCTTCTTAAAAGCTTTAAAAATACAATAAAATTTTGAATACCCACAAAAATGATACTCACAGTTCATATCGACCATAACAACCACTGAGGTAGGTATCGTTAAGTTGTTGTTGGACGCCTCACAAGTTAACAACAATTTGAGATCATTGCGGGTGAGGGGCCCTAGAGTGAGCGTATTGTAGGGCTCCGCTATGGTCTGGCTGGGCCCCGTATTGAGCGTTGTGACGTAGGGGGCGGGTGGGACTGTCGTGTGATTTAGTGATGCCAGTTCTATGACGGGGGATGTTTCTTCGGATTCCATGTTGAAGTCTATTAGGTATGTGTCCCTAAACCACACAACGGAGGGGCGTGGACTACCTGGAGGGAAGGAAAACAAAGGCGGGGGTGTTAATATTTTTTATATTTTTAAAGTAGTTGGGAAATGGGATTGGTGAAGATGATTAATGATGGAAATAGCAATAACAGTGATAATAATAATGGTCAGATTGATAGTCGACGAATATAATAATAGTAATGGCAATGATAATAATACTAATGATGATAATGATAACAATGGTGATAATTACAATGATAATAATGATGCTGATTATATAATAATGGAGAGAGAGAGAGAGAGAGAGAGAGAGAGAGAGAGAGAGAGAGAGAGAGAGAGAGAGAGAGAGAGAGAGAGAGAGAGAGAGAAATGGAGACAAAAGACAGGAGAGAGAGAGAGAGAGAGAGAGAGAGAGAGAGAGAGAGAGAGAGAGAGAGAGAGAGAGAGAGAGAGAGAGAGAGAGAGAGAGAGAGAGAAGGCGAAAAGAACAGATCATATTTCACCATAATGTCTCCACGCACGAGCATCAAAATTTGAATTCCTATGTTTGTATTTATAATCCCGGGATATGCGTGTGTGTACGTATGCGTGTGCGTTTCCTGCGACTCTATTCCCCCTTTGATAATCAGACCGGGAAATGTACACATGGAAAATCTGAGGGAAAGTTTACACGTTTTGCGAGTGATGTTACTTTCCACATAATTCTATTAAGGGTATTTACTGTCCCGTCTCCTTCCCCCTCCTCCCCCTCCCCCCTCCCCCATCACCACCTCGCCTACCCCTTCAATCCTCAAAGCCTCACCTGTCCCCCTTTCCTCACTCTCCCCTCCTGTCATCTCTTTCATCCTCATTTGCATCTTTCCTCCTTTTCCTCCTCTTTCTCTCACTCCTCTACGCCTCATTCTCGTCTCCCCTCCTCCTTTTCTTCTTTCTCTTCCTCCTCTACGCCTCGTTCTCGTCTCCCTTCCCTCTCTTTCTCTACCCCTTCCTCCTCCTCTTTCTCTTCCTCCTCTACGCCTCATTCTCGTCTCCCTTCCCCCTCTTTCTCTCTTCTTTCTTCTCTTCCTCCTTTACGCCTCATTCTCGTCTCTCTTCCCCTCCTCCTCCATTTTTCTCCTCCTCTATGTCTCGTTCTCGTCTCCTTTCCCCCTCCTCCTCCTATTTCTCTTCTACCTCTACGCCTTATTCTCGTCTCCTCCCCCTTCCTCTTCGTCTATGCCTCTTTCTCGTCCCTCTCCCTTTCTTCCTCCTATTTCTCTTCCTCCTCGTCTGCCTCCCCTCTTCTTCCTGTTTCTCTTCCTCCTCTCGCCTAATTCTTGTCTCCCTTTCTTCCTCCTCTTCCTCTATGCCCCTTTCTCGTCTCTCTTCCCCCT